ATGAATGAGAGGCTGCTTAAAGATGAAAGGCTGTAAGCCGCGATCTGAAGATGAGAGGCTGTAAGCCGCAATCTGAAGATGAGAGGAGGCGAAGCACTGAAGGCGATAAGGATACAAGGAAGCTTGAGGCGAGGGCGATAACTGTCGAGGAAGCTTGGCTGCTTGAGATGAGGGGAGGCGAGGGTTTCCTTGAAAGATGAGATGAGACTTTAGGTAAATTAGTCTTTAGATGAGTTTTTTACTTTTTTTTTTTTGTGGCTGTATGAGTGACCACGTGGCTGAGACTATGACTGATCTATGAGTGACTGAGTTTAGTCACTGAATTTACTTTAGTCTTTATCATATATATATATATATATATATATATATATATATATGTATACGGTTCTAATTCTTACAAGTTCCCACGGGCTGGAACCGGAACTGGAACCGTATGCTCACAGTTCCTAAATTTGGAACCGGGACTGGAACCGGAACCGTGAGAACCGGAAAAAATGGTTTCAGTTCTCACGGTTCTGGTTCCGGTTCTTTTGTGCACCCCTAGTTATATCCCAATTGAACTAGTAGTGCATTGAAAGTTTTCATTCTGATAAAGGTAGATAACAAACCCTTTTCATTGAGTAGCTGGGATTCTAACCTCATCAAGCACTGAATTTCTCGTGTCGAAAGGTGGAGGGCCCAAACTCTAGATTAATAAATTGATAATAAAAAAAAAATAAAAAAATAAAAAAATAAAAAAATAAAAGAAAGAAAAAAAGTTTGCAAAAAGCAAATAAAAGAGTGAAGAAAGAAAAAAAGTTTGCAAAAAGCAAATAAAAGAGTGAAGACTTCTCCCAAAAGGTGGGAAGTGAGAAATGATTAAATGGAGATTGTTTTGATTTGTAGCCTAGTTGATTTGAGTTTGTAAGTCCTCAGGGGTGTTTAAACACCTAATGCCCTAAAGCCGTCTGGTTTGGGAGTCATTGACCTAACGCTCGACCTCATGGATCGCTAGAAAGCTTAATAGATCAACACATTGCAATATGTTTCCATCTTTGATCATTAGGATTAGAAAAAAGAAGAAAAAAAAATCAAGTGAAAAGAATAAGCGTACCTAGATGAATACACTACAAGAAAAACAGTTTTTTAAAATGCCATTTTTACCATGGTTTTAATATAACCATGGTAGAAAGTGTCTTTTACCATGGTTTTTTTTAAAACCGTGGTAGAAAGTAATATATTTTATGTGATACCCCTCGGATCCGAGACACGGGTTGATCAGGCCCAGGCCCAAACCCGAGGGAATATCAAACAATTAATATTTTATAACGAACACGGAATACAAAATGAATTAAGAAATGAAAGTTTAAAGCTGAAAAGAAAACTAAAATATAATCCTTAAATAATTAAATACTTAAATTTGATAAACCAAATATCCATAACTTGAACAACTCGGGAATCCATCTCTAGTGGACCCCTAATAAAAATCTTACACTGAATGAAAGTAAAATGAAAGATAACATCCAAATCCAAGATCTGGAAAGAAATCCTACATCGTCGGTAGAATGGAAGATCGTCTCTGCTCAGCACGAACAAGCTCAAGCCTGGAACTGACGTACACCTGAAAAATAGGAGTGGGTCAGGCCCACGAACAAGTTCTATCTTACTACAATCCAAGCAGAGACTCGATACGCATGTACATACTAAATAGTTGAACAATAACTAATAATCCGTACATAAATATATCCACACTACTGGACTCTCGCTAGGCCATGAAGGGGGTCTCAACCTGGATAGAAGGCATCACACAATACGCACCTGAGTGAGCATGAGTACCTAAACCTAAACAGGGTATACCTCAACCTTCACAGTCAGCTACACATCCAACTGCATATATGCACCCTAACCGTCGACACTGAGACTCAAGCTCATGACACGGTAACATAACAATATATCTAAACTCCGTTTCTAACCATCCACAAGAAATCCAGTAAGTCACTCGGCGTATTCAACCGTACCGACTTATATATATAAGGAGGATTGTATTTTATAACCCGTGCCCTTACTCCAAAATAGGTAGGACTTAGCAATTTGAGCAAATCCAAACCTAGTATGTCACCGTCCCATACCGGTACATACAATCCAATCCGTCCAATAGTTGATAAAGCATATACAAGTACATAACAATATCAACGAGTCCATATCAAGCATATCAGAATGTATTAACAACCGTTCTTGAATAGTCCCAACAAATTGATTAACATTGGAAACATAAATATCAATATTAATTACTCTATCCCACGCATTTAAATAATTTATAAATGCTAAAACCAACAATTCCAACCTAACCATGTTAGAATAGATTAACCATCATGCTTTAATAAATCCAACCACTGATTAAGTACTAACAGTATCAGTGTCAAAACCCACAGTTCCAAACTAAGCACATTAAAGTATACTAGAAAAACATGCTTAATTAATCCAACAATAAGCCGTTACCTGATCACCCACAGGACTGTGTCTGTAAATATAAGTTTATTCCCGGTATCCATAATTAAAAGAGCTTAAACAATTGTTATAATATTTATTTTCATGGCATGCATAATAAATCTAGACAATTTATCCTACTGTTAAGCTCCTACTCAACAAAAATTGACGAGTTAAATGTTAAGTTTAATCATCAACTAATCTTTAGCAAAAATACAGATTCCTTGTATGTATGTATACTCTAAGAATTTGAAATTAGCAGTGCACAAACTCTCACAAGAAATTTTACATTATAATCTAGAGTTAGAAACTCCAAATCCACACAAGTCTACAAGACATTCGTAATTAACTCCATGTAATCTAACGATTAATGCTTTGTGTCCAATTCAATGTTAATCTGATCTTTGAATATTTATGTTTACTCTAGACCACTCCTAAACCATCCATTACAGTATTCATTCTCCACTAAAACATATTAAAACAATCACTATGAAGCCTAATCACTGAAAAGTGGAACAACAGACAACAGAACCAAAAACCCACGTAGAAAACAACCTGGAGCCGGCTCCAGAATATTGGAGCCGCCTCCAATGGCCCTGGAGCCGGCTCCTAGACCATTGGAGCCGCCTCCAGTCCAAGGAGAGCCGGCTCCAATCCAATAGGAGCCGGCTCTAATCCAATAGGTTCCGGCTCTCTCCCTCCTCTTCTTCGTGTTCTCCTCTCCAGTCGCCGTTTACGCCTCCGACACTTCACCGTATAGGTTTTCAGAGAGTTTAACTCAATCCCAGAAGATTCCAACCCTTAATTCAGTCCTTATTATGCTACTAATATGGATAAAACCAAGAATTAAACAAGAAAGTTCAAAGTTAAACAGTTTACAATTTTAAAACAAATTCAGTTTCAGTTAAACTCTAAACATAAAACAGATAACGTTTTTATTTTTAAACATGTAATTCATCCTGGAACTATTGAGTATGCAAAGAACACGAGTATAAGGGAGAGAGTAAGGTTAGAACTTGCATTTGAGATCTTTGTCCAAAAATCTCTACGCCGTCTCTAAAGTTCCGATGAAAACCAACGTGAACCCTCTCTGTTCTTCCTTTGTCTCCACAGTCGTATAATTGGTTTTGTTATGTTTCTCAAACTCTAACCAAACATCTAACATATATTTATAGGATTTTACTAAACCCTAAATTAATTCAAGCCCCAACTGAAATCCTAACCGGCCCATCCAACATACTGAGAAACCTACGACGGCTTACAAACTGATTAAAAGTAAAACCCTACTTATTAAATCAAGACAATTACCAATTTAACCCTAATTATTAAATCAAGACAATTACCAATTTAAATTTACAATAAAGAATTAAATATAACACCATTACAATTAAACACATAACTAAACAATTAACTTAAATAATCACAATTATCACAATTAATGTAAATAATTCAAATAATTAATTAAACCAAAGAAAACAAATAAACCAACTAATTAATTCAAATAACACAAATAAGTCAAGTAAATCAAATAAGTAAAAAGTCAATTAAAACATATTAAAACATAATTCAAAACGATTAATGAACCAAAAACAATTAATGAACAGAAAACAATTAAACAAAATACCGAGACTATCCTTTTGAAAATTAGGGGTATTACATTTTACCTTGGTTACTATAAAACCGTGGTAGAAAAACTTTTTACCATAATTAATGAAAAACCGTGGTAGTAATTATACTTTCTACCACAGTTATAAGAGAACAGTGGTAGAAAGTGAATTTATTTCACTTAAATTTAGTGCGTATTTATTCAAACTTTTATACCGCTCTCTCTACCACGGTTAATGAAAAACCGTGGTAGTAGGTTATAGTAAGTTATTCTACCACGGTTAGGGGTGGCAAAAGTTGACACGACCTGCCAATACGACTCGAACACGACACGAATTAAATGGGTTTGGGTTGACCTTAAACAGGTTCGGGTCATAAACGGGTTGACACGATTAACCCGTTTAGTTAATCGTGTCGTATTTGGGTTGAAGGGTTTAACCCGTGTAACCCATTTGTACACGTTTAACTATATATGTCATAAATAAATTTCTGTTTAAGTTCTAAAATTACTATATTAACTTGTGTCTTATAATTTAATCTTTTGTAAATTATAAACTATTTAGTAATTTAGTTAGTTAAAACTTATATATTTTTTTAATATTTATTATTTTATTGAGTATTATTAATAATTTAAATAATATATCTATAATTCTTTTGTAAATAGGTTATTAAACGTGTTACACGTGTAACCCGTTTAATAAACAGGTCGTGTTAGTGTTCAGAATTCTTGACACAATTATTAAACGAGTCGTATTCGGGTTGAATTGTTTCGTATAATACCCTTAAGTTGACACGACACGATTATAACTCGCGAACATAAATTACCACTCTTAAACTTGGTTTAGGTACCGTGGTAGTGGTAGAAAGTGAATTTGGATTAAGGCTGTACACGGGTCTTATTCCCCCTGCTTTCTTAAAATTTTAGGGCAAATCATTTTAGACCACACCCACCATACCACACATGTTAGGGCAAATCATTTCAGCCTCCTAAATCGCCTCCATCTCTATTCTCGTTCTCAACTCTGAACTTGCCCTCTCTCTGTCTCTGCAACTTCAAACTACAAAATCTACAAGATTCAGATCAGCCTCCCAAATCGCCTCCATCTCTATTCTCGTTCTTAACTCTGAACTTGCCCTCTCTCTGTCTCTGCAACTACAAACTACAAAATCTACAAGAATCAGAACCCATATCGTTATATCATTTCAGATTGTTTAAAAAATTAAAACCCATATCCTTCAGTTTCCATCGCCCGCTGATCGAGTTCGAGTTCGCCGTTCGAAAGCTTCAGCCTCAGGCCCGTTGTCTCTCAACTCTTAAGCCCTCTCTACTCTCTCATAAGGATGACGTTGAGTAACGACTTGAAGATCAGCAATCGACCAAAATTGCAGAACTCTACAGGTAAATGTTTCTCTTATATCTTTCATCTCAATATGTTGGCGAAATATTTATCTCCGTATATGGATAAGTAATTGTGATGAAAAATCAGTTAGGGATTTTGGGATTTGAAGATTTTACTAAATTAATTTGATGCAATTTATTGATTTTCTTGAAGCCCTAGGTTTAATTAGAGTTCTATTATGTTTTATGTTTGTGAATTAATTAAAAAGGATCTCAAAATTTTATCATCTCTCGTGCATTTTAATGTGAAAAGCCTTGTGAAGCTCAATCATGATCAATGAATTGGCATCTATAACTGTTGCTGTGATTTATGAAGATGTCTGATTTTCGGGGAGCTGTTTAGTTTCTGCCAAAGCATGATTCCGTTGTAGTGACCATAAAGGATTTTGGGTATTCCCACAAATTTGTTGTGTTTTGTTTTGCCATGTTAAATATGTTTTACCCTATCATGGTCGGGGAATTATGATATTTTGACTAGACTTCCACCATTTGTTGATTAGCAAACCCATTTGGGTTTTTAGCTTTAGTAACTCCTTGTATTAGAAAAAACTTTGAATAGATTAGTGTAATGACAACACTTATTGTGTCCTTGTCTTTGGTGTGGATGGTACACTGATTCACCTTTTCTGTTCTGGTATCAGTTACAGAAAGTAACAGTGATATTGCTTTAGTAAAATGACATGGTATCATTGTTCTGTTAAAAAAAAAAAAAAAAAATTCACATTCCCTGTCATTTTAATGCCAATGACAGTGTCATGTCGAAGGTCCCCCCACCTTTGTTGCACTGTGCTTTTTTCATTTTATTTATTTATTTATTTATTTTTTATTTTAAGTATTGAGACTGGAATTCGGTCTTCAAGCTCTTATCGACTTGACAGATTGCAGGGGGGAGATAACAGCTTACTTTCGCTCTTTCCCTCAAGCTAATACAAGCAAGGATGCAGACTTATGGATCCCAACAGACACAAAACACATGGTGAAGTAATCATTTCTAGTCCAGCTAATAGTTCATGTACCATAAAAGGCTACCCCTCATGTTAATGATCAAAACACATTCTCTACAATTTCTATAATCATTGTAGTTGGACTCCATAAGCCTTTTAGCTACCTTCAATCTATAAAAGGCTAGTTATTTTATATGTTTGTTGGGCAACAAAGCAATTTAGTAATAAAGCAAATATATATATAAAGGGTGATTTACACAGAGGATTTTTGCTTTGGTCTTGGTTGTTTACAGAAGAGAAGGGGTGGCCCCTTTTCATACTAGCATATATAAAGAGAAGAGAATCTTGAGATCATGCATATATGAAGCTAGATTTTACTAAAAATAAAAGTGTCTACTTTTCACCCTCACTTAAAATATAAGACTTATAAATGTTCATAATTAATCTTCAATACTATTATACTCCCCTTTAAAAAAATTGATTATGCTCCACTGTTTTTGCTGTATTTTATATCCTAAGATTGCAACAACTACTGTAATTCCTCTTGTTCTTGCAAATTTCTTTGCCATGAAGTTAAGCTTCAATAAAAATAAAAAAATAAAAAAACTTAAGCTTTTATAACTCAGATACCTGTTGAATATAAAAAGATAAAATTCATCATTCCTCTCATAATCAAATGCAAATTTCTCATACAATAACATAAGAGGGAAAACTTTATTTGTAACTTTTTTTTTTTTTTTTTTTGATTCTTCTCAATAAGTATACATTTGTGACTATAAAAAAAAAAAAAAAAATTATGCAGCAACTGTCTTAACACTTGTAAACTACGAAAATGGAAAATATCAAATAAACAATTTTTTAGCTCCTTTTGTTTTCCTTCATCTCTTTTGCACATCACCATGCTTAACTTTTCAAGAGACTTCTACTTAGCTGTTTTTTGTCATGTGAGCTGTCTTTCAATTCCTTTTTCATATGATTAGTATTTTGTAATTCTTGTTGAACATTCATGTAGGAAGAAAATAACTAATGTGACTCATTTTCCTAAAAAATATATGCTTAATACTTTTCATTTTTATTTTTTTAACACGCAATCCTTTGTGAATGATGAGGATTCTTCATCTTGTGCATCTAAAATTACAAATTTTGGACTCATGCCCATACTTTTTTGCAATTTTATCATGGCGAATCCAAGTTTCCTCATAATTTCTTTGATACCCTTTTCTGCCTTTGTCCTTGATACACCTTTGATAAATTTTGAGCCTCTTCCACTTTCTTATTTTAGTCTCATTCAAATTCAATTTATAGTCACGTAAATGCATGTCCAAATGGTGCAGACCAAACTATTACATCAGTTGAAACTACTCACAGTTTGATTGTGGAGCATTGGATTGATTAAAAAAAATAAAAATCCTTAGAACATTAAGAGTGAAATATTGAGTTGATTTCAACAACATTGTTGTCATCTTCCTGTATCATGAAATTTGCTGAATTTAATGCAGATCACTGGGAATGGCGCTCCCTGATGTCAAGTACTTTATAGAAGCTTCAGTTGCTGCCTTGCGAATATTTGATAGGATTGACCGGATTCCTAAAATCGATGGTGAAGACTAAGGTAGGTTCATGTGTGTGTTTGATCATTTGACCTGCCTAGTAATTTTGTTTCAAAAAGAATGATGAAGTTAAAGCAATATTGTTTCTTTAATTTACTTTTGATCCTATTCAGAATATAAAGTACTGATGTGAATAGATGTAACAGGTGGGTGAAAGAGGGGCTCTTTTATCAGGTGGACAAAAACAGCGGATTGCCATTGCTAGAGCTATCATTAAGAACCTTGTGATTTTACAAGGTATATCTATTATACTGTATTAAATATGTTCTTTGGAATGGAGTCCTTTCAACTCTGTTTTTCATATTATAATTTTAAAAGAACAGTCAACCAGATGAAAATTTTAACTATTTTTTGGTTTAAATTAAAATTTCATTTCAGAAAAATTAACAAATAGTTCTCAAGTTTCTCTAAAAGCTCTTAAGTTAGTACTTGTAGGGCGACCTTGTACTGAGGTTTTAATGGTCTCAGACCCCTTGCCTAGTAGAGGACTTGATGTTTTCCTTGTCAATCATGGATGAGGAATAGAGATCTATTACAACCCCATTTTTTTGTAGTTCATTGCAATGTGAAAATTGTTGTCTTGTAATTGCTTCATTTGTTTATTTTGTGTTTGACTGATATACTTAATTTGGGTTGTGTCAACTGGCAAGGCATCATGTTGACAAGCCCCTTGTTAGGAGATGTGCTACCAATTCTTGTTTCAATAATACAAGAGATAGGAAGTGAGGATTTTGATTTTGTTTGTGTTTAAAGAAAGGGTAGTAAATCTGGTGTGTGTGGGGAGGGGGGAATGGAAGGTACATATTAAGCGATTTCTTTCTTCATTCCTCATATATCTGCGACATACATTTTACTTTAGGTTTTCCACATTTATAAGAGCCTAAAAACTCAATATATATAATTTTGGCAATTTTACAATTTGGCAACTTTACAACTTGCTTTACATTCTCTTATTTCAACTATTACATTTTGTAGGTCAAAGCTAGGATTGCGGGATTGCGGTTCCCATTACATTTTTTTGTTGCCGTTATATTTTTTGTACGGCTCATGATCAAGGAGTTGCATATATGGAAGAGAGAGACTAAAACAGAACAAGAAGATATGAAGAATTTTTGTTTTATTGTGGTTAAGTAAAGATATAAGCTTGTGGATCATGTACTTCTTTGAAATTTGTATATATTTTTGTATAAAATCATGATTTGGAATTGGTTATATATATATATATATATATATATATATATATATGATGTTATTGGCCAATTGTAAGTTATTTTGTTTATGATGCTATTTTTTATTTATAGGGTTTGCTTCTTGGGTCCTTGTAAGGCTAGTAGTAGGGTAAAAAAAACAAGGCCTCATAGGGGTTGTACATTATTTTTTTTAAAAAAATAATATAACATTTTCTACCACAGTTTTGCACCGTGGTAGAAAGTGGACTTTCTACCACGGTGCGGAACCGTGGTAGAAAGCCTTCTGCTTATTACCATGACAGTTTCTATCACGATTCAAAACCGTAGTAGAAAGCATTTTCTACCATGGTAAAAAGTTGATTTTCTTGTAGGGGTAAAGTTTTAATAAAAGGTTCACTCTTTGTCTTGATGATCGGTACTAAATTTGTGTGTTAGTTTGAGGGTAATGATATGATTATTTCTTTAGTTGGCTTAGATAACAACATATTTGATACCGGTTCACTAAAAAAGGATTCTAAAGTTTTTTTTATTTGCATGATCATTATCTTGATGTGTGCAGGATAATACTTGCTTGTGTTAAGAATTTGGGAGATTGCTTGGAAAGGGTTGAAATATTGCGTACTTGAGATAGTTTTCTCCCAATACTTATTTTGTATATTGGTGCCTCTTTAGTGAGAAAGAGCTCAATGTTTGTGGGTATCATTTCTGGAAACTCTCACGAGACTTCACTCATCCATTAGGGGTAACCTAGGGATTTAAAAGGCTTGTTACATATGTTAAATGCAATCGTGCTCCCTACGAAAGTGGCGTTATCCTTTTATTGCTTTCTAGTTTATAGTTACTTAATTGTTTATTTCTTTGTTTTCCTTGTTGTTCATTGTTAGGGACTAGCAATATCTAAGTTTGGGGGTGTGATAAATGCTCAAATGTGACGCATTTTAGCACCTGAGTTAAGGTATTTTAGTCCATTCATCTATCTTACTTTCATGTCATAGATACTTATTTGTGCTTTTGCATATTTCAGGTAAATAAAGTTCAAACAGACTAAAAAGAGCCATTTAGCTCAATTTTGGAGCTAAGGAGCGAAGTTGGAAAGAAGTCAAGAAAATGCACTTGAGGAACTTCGATCGATCGAAGGGAAGTCCCGATCGATCGAAGAGGGTTAAAATCGATCAAGATGAAGGCGGTGCCAGCTCAGCAAAGTGGATAAGGCCGAAAAGATATTTTTGATGCCACGCCAACTTCGATCGATCGAAGCTAAGTGTTGGATCGATCGAGAATCTTCGATCGATCGAAATGCCTGCTGGCAGTGTTGTCTAATTCCCGAGTGCCCCAATTTCTACCTAACTTGTGCAGTTGCGAATTTCCTCCAATCACAGGCTATAATTCTGACTTGGTCCTTATTCAAAGGAGTATATAATTGATCGATTGAACATTATTGTATCATATCAAGATAGATAGATATTACCAATTATAGAAAAAAATATTCATCTCTCTAGAATTAGGGTTTTTGGAAAGAAAGTAATGATGAAGATGATGATGCTAACCTCCAAGCTAGCCCTTGAGGGTTCCATGACCACTACTATGAGTGGCTAAATCCTTCTCTTGGGGCTAGAGATATCCCCTAGGCTTACTTCTCAAACCTAGTTTTTGTGTATTTTTGGGGATTTTAATTGTAATAGATGTTTTGACCATGAATAAATATAGACCTTGTGATTTCTACTTGATTTGTATGGGTTAATGCGTTCAATTGATCATTTGGCTCTAGACATATGTCTATGTATGCTAGAATTGATGTTCATGTTTTTGTCTTTAGATTTAATGAAATTGATGCATGTCTATGTGTATTGATGTTGTTAATCTAGTGATTGTCAAGGCATGGTGCTTAATGGAACACTCTTGTGATTTATTTGATAGTTCACACTTGTTTGTTGATGGATTGTATCACATCTCTAGTTTAATTTCATGTCTCTAGCCTTGTTGTAGTGTAATTGCTTTAATTTCTTAGGTAGGTGAACAATCCATTCTTGTTTCTTGATGCTCCATACTTGTGAATGCAAAGAGTGCATGTCTCTAGATAATTGTGTGTGCATCAATTGTGGTCTTATTGGTTAGACAAATAATTATTGGCAAATAATTGAATGGATATTGGTCTTATTTGATGGGTTGTGCTATTAATTAAAATTGGCTAGACATTCTATACTTATTTGCCACCCAAGCTTAGTTTCAATTGATGTTACATACACACAAGTTACAATTTAAATTTCCCATTAATGTATAATTGCTAGTGTTTGATGAAGAGAAGCTTAGTGGTGACTCTGAGCCCCAAGACCTCTCTCCTATATCTTTTCCCTACTTTCTAAATTGTTTTTTACTTGCATTAATTTTAATTGCATTGTAGTTTAATAAATCAATCATCAAGCATCTTTGATCACTCGACCTACTAATTCGACATTAATTTCCAAGCACAAATACACCTCTTTTCCCTTGGGACGATCCCTACTCACTCTAGCTATATTTTTAGTTGGAAGTGGTAGTGACATTTTCTAAATTTAAACTTGACCACACTACACACTTTTGCGTGCAATTTGGTGCATTGGCTTGACGAGGCACACCATAGGTCGCCCCTCAAGAGTATGAATCCGAGACAACACCTTCATAACATCACTATCATCATGGAAACGAACCAAGAAAAAACCATCCTTAAGATAAATCAACATGAAGTTCTTGGACCATTTCTTCTCAACAAAGGATTTGAAATAGTGATAGTAAGGCTTCTTGCCCATCACATAGCCGACAACAGAGGAGGACCAGTATTTGATTTCATCAGTAACATCTTCTTCTAAAATATAAATTTTCTTCCCACGTACATTACTGTGGAACTGTAGATTCTGAAAATTAGATGCGGTTTCAGTGAAGAAACGGCACCAAAAGGTGGAAGGAAGTGCAGTCCGGCTTGTAGAACCCGCCGGCGGGGAAGGGGAGGAGGCAAGACCCTCCTCCATCATGTTGAACTCCTTCCCAGCCACCTGTATTGCAAGTAAACCCTAGAACACCTAAATCGCCTGTTTTAAGAGAAAAAGGGTAAAATTGTAATTCGTCTACAACTCACTATTTTATCCACCCGTGGAAGAGCCGAGTTTTGACTACTGGGGATTTGTTAAGTATTTATCCGCATGAATTAATAATTTTGATTTTTCTGGTGTATCGTGTCGTGGGCTTTATTGAATCATATATTCCCGACATTTGGTAGTAACTTTTTGCTTTCTTACACCAAAAAAATAAAAATAAAAATTGATTAGTCAATCCACATGTATTTTCTTATTTATTAAGACGTCGATTCAATTACATTGCAGATTGCATCATTCATATTTCTTAGTTTAGCCTGTGCCTACCTATATAATGAGTGGTTTAGAGTCATTCTAGATGCATTTTTTGTTCACTAATTTTGTTTTTTCTTTCCCAACAGGTCAATGTAACTAACACATCTTTGGCATGAACAAACCTTGTAATTACCTACAAATCAAGCTAGCAAGGCCTCCTTGCATGGTTGCATTTGCTCTCTCTCTCTCTCTCTCTCACTCATACACACACGCGCACACATGAACGGTTCTGTGTATACGTTCTTAACTGGCGTCCTGTTGATGATACTTCTCATGACCACTGGTTCTCTCCCTTCATTCATTAATTAATTTACTTTTCAATTGAAAGTAGCACTGAACTCAATTGACAAACATGCATGCTATGCACTTTGGCCTAACATATAACTTTATTACTTTAAAATTTTTGCATTCAATTTTGGATATTATCAATCATATATAGTGCCATATATACATATTGGATTAATCTAATAAACATGATATGAATCATGTGAATAAATCAATAAAATGTTGTTAAAATATTTTTATTTAAATTTTATTTTGTTTTTTTTCTAATTTTTTGACAGAGATGGGTCTCATGGCTAGCGGTAAAAGAATGTGTAAATATCCGAGCCGGCGATATAAGGGAGTATGTTTGAATAGCGACTGCAATTCTGTTTGCAAGAAAGAGGGCTTTGTTAGTGGCCATTGCAAGGCTTCCCGCAACCGCTGCATGTGCAACAATCAATGTCGTTGAAGTATATGTATATATATAGAAACTTGAGACATTAATTCTATTAAATAATATTACATACACTTCATCTATATTTGTGGCTTTTCTTTTGCTATCTAGGTAGGCTTTTCTCTAGCTATCCAACTAATTCAGAATTTATTTTAAATGATCTAAGGTTGGTGGATTTTATTTTATATCTTTTCTTGCATGTTGTGTTAAGAAAATTTTACTTGCTTATCAGAAACAACAATGAACTTTGTGTAAATTTTACTTGCTAGCCAAAATGTGTTCTATCAAATTATATTCCAGAAAAGTTTTTGATTCCCTTGATTGGGATTTCATCCTTGACATTCTCAAGGCCGCCCTGAGATTGAAAAATCTTAAGAGGCCGAACTTTAAATGTGAGGCCCTTGGGTCAATTCTTCTTCTCTCTCTTTTTTTTTTTTTTTTTTTTTTTCATGCCCAGATTAAAATTTTGTTGTAGACATAATTGTCAAAAAAATAAATAATAATAGAAGTTATATAAATAAAAAAATATATATTTTGCTGAAATAAAATATATATTACCTCAATACAATTTAATGAATTGATCCAGGTTGCAAAAATAAAATATGGATATTACCTCAATGCAATGATTTGTTTTTCTAATTGATTTGTTCTTAAGACTTCAAGTAAAAGATTGCCGGATTGGAATATCGGTATTACAACAAATCCATTTGTCAAACAATAATTCTATAAAAACTTCCAAATTTATGCATTCTAATATATGAAATAATAATTTTATTAAAAAAAATAGATAATATGTGAGAGAATTACTCCACTTACTAAAAAAAATTGCTAACATATAAATAATTTTTTTATTATCCAACGGGAAACAAATATACGAGGTTGTGTGCCTACTTTAAAGAAAAAGGCATAAAGAGAAAAGAAAAAGCAAAAGGCATAAGATGATCATATGTTTCATATTAAACTTTGTTAATGAGATATTAAGATGGGCTAATATTTGAGGCCTTTTCAAGTTTTGAGTCCGTTGTCTTAATTTTTATTTATTTATTTATTTTTTATTTATTTTTTATTTATTATTATTATTTTTTAAGCCCATCATCAATGGGCTTGCAAAATTTGAGGCCCTAAGCGACCACCTTAGTCGCCTTGGGTCAGGACCGGCCCGGGACATTCTCGATATCTACTCAAAATTTCACTCACCAAACGGTCAATGGATATAAGCCTACCTCACTTTCTGATTGTTCTCCATTTCAACTAATGTCCGTTGAATTAATAGGATACATTAATTCAAGGTACTAAAGGTTTGAGGCACGGTGACTACTTTTCACCATTTCTTTTTATGATCGATCTCAACGGATGTCCAACTATGTAGGGAAACCAACTTAAAAAAAAAAAAAAAAAAAAAAACAAATATTTCATTCTTGATTTACTCCAATTTGAACTTGCATGGTTTTGTGATTGGAATTGTGCATGTATTGATTGTTGTTGTAAATGTTGGAATGAAGTTGATTATAAGAGTATGAAATTCTAGCTACCATTTTGCCATGATGTTACCATGACTATTTCATTCACTCAATTTAATTAATACCTTTTCAAAATGTTTAATGTCATAAGTTGCATCATGGAAATATATATAGTGGTAGCTAGAAAATGCCAATGGAAACATTTTTCTAAAACCGAAAACAAAAAAAAAAAAAAATTAGAAATGTTTCCATTGGCATTTTCTATCTACCACTATATTTCCATGATGCAACTTAGATGGGGACATTTTCTCTCAACTCTTGCTTGCTTATGTTTCAAAATTTAATCCATCTCACTTTTGCTATTCAAAATTGGAAATGTTAGGTGGGGCACTTTGTTATTAACTACCCGTTGGTTACCGGTGTGAAATTAAATTATTGAACGTTGCTATTGGGTCTAGAGGTTGGAGTCAATCTCTCTCTCTCTCTCTCTAGATATATATATATATATATATATATATATATATATATAGATACATATATATGTTGGGCTTTTCAACTTTCACAGTTTATTTTGAACGAGACATTGGAAGGAGTAGATACATAAAAGCCTTTTGTAGCTTTTCATACCATAAACAATTCAAAAGTGAAAAACATATATTGTGAAAAAAGAAACACTCAAATGAGAAATCAGTATGTTGATCTAACAACAAGGACACAAAGTTGAAAGAACATACCCATTTGTAATCAAATTAAGAACAAAAGCAATAGTGAAAAAAGGGCATCAAATTTAGAAAAATGATTCTTAAATCAATTACTCTAACCTATTTGTGTTTTATCTCTTTGATATAAGAATAAGATCCCATTTGAGTTTATCAACTGCATTAAAGGCATATAAACTCATTGGGCTAGATAAATAGATCAGAGTATTCGGTCTAAATATATGATCGATGAAAATAAGGTGGGAGGAGCTAATTCCCAAATCAAAAAGACACCTCACACCTTTTTGTTTATCAAAGGACATATAAGTTGTTGTATATTAATGTATTTCAAAATACGTATATATTTTTTCATATACACGTCAGTCTATTATTATGCAATTACATATATTAACTTACCCTAATATCTACAACAAAACAATAACATCTCATCATAATATCCTGTCAAAA